TCACAAGTCATTTGGTTCGAGTCAAGTCACAAGTCATTTGGTTCGGGTCAGGTCACAAGTCATTTTGTCCGGGTCAAGTCACAAGTCATTTGGTCCGAGTCAAGTCACAAGTCATTTTGTCCGAGTCAAGTCACAAGTCATTTTGTCCGAGTCAAGTCACAAGTCATTTTGTCCGAGTCAAGTCACAAGTCATTTTGTCCGAGTCAAGTCACAAGTCATTTGGTCCGAGTCAGGTCACAAGTCATTTTGTCCGGGTCAAGTCACAAGTCATTTTGTCCGAGTCAAGTCACAAGTCATTTTGTCCGAGTCAGGTCACAAGTCATTTGGTCCGAGTCAAGTCACAAGTCATTTTGTCCGAGTCAAGTCACAAGTCATTTGGTCCGAGTCAGGTCACAAGTCATTTTGTCCGGGTCAAGTCACAAGTCATTCTGTCCGAGTCAAGTCACAAGTCATTTTGTCGGAGTCAGGTCACAAGTCATTTGGTCCGAGTCAGGTCACAAGTCATTTGGTCCGAGTCAAGTCACAAGTCATTTTGTCCGGGTCAAGTCACAAGTCATTTTGTCCGAGTCAAGTCACAAGTCATTTTGTCCGGGTCAGGTCACAAGTCATTTTGTCCGGGTCAAGTCACAAGTCATTTTGTCCGAGTCAGGTCACAAGTCATTTTGTCGGGTCAGGTCACAAGTCATTTTGTCCGAGTCAGGTCACAAGTCATTTTGTCCGAGTCAAGTCACAAGTCATTTTGTCCGGGTCAAGTCACAAGTCATTTGGTCCGAGTCAGGTCACAAGTCATTTTGTCCGAGTCAAGTCACAAGTCATTTGGTCCGAGTCAAGTCACAAGTCATTTGGTCCGAGTCAAGTCACAAGTCATTTTGTCCGAGTCAAGTCACAAGTCATTCTGTCCGAGTCAAGTCACAAGTCATTTTGTCCGAGTCAAGTCACAAGTCATTTTGTCCGAGTCAAGTCACAAGTCATTTTGTCCGAGTCAAGTCACAAGTCATTTTGTCCGAGTCAAGTCACAAGTCATTTTGTCCGAGTCAAGTCACAAGTCATTTGGTTCGAGTCAAGTCACAAGTCATTTGGTTCGGGTCAGGTCACAAGTCATTTTGTCCGGGTCAAGTCACAAGTCATTTGGTCCGAGTCAAGTCACAAGTCATTTTGTCCGAGTCAAGTCACAAGTCATTTTGTCCGAGTCAAGTCACAAGTCATTTTGTCCGAGTCAAGTCACAAGTCATTTTGTCCGAGTCAAGTCACAAGTCATTTGGTCCGAGTCAGGTCACAAGTCATTTTGTCCGGGTCAAGTCACAAGTCATTTTGTCCGAGTCAAGTCACAAGTCATTTTGTCCGAGTCAAGTCACAAGTCATTTGGTCCGAGTCAAGTCACAAGTCATTTTGTCCGAGTCAAGTCACAAGTCATTTGGTCCGAGTCAGGTCACAAGTCATTTTGTCCGGGTCAAGTCACAAGTCATTCTGTCCGAGTCAAGTCACAAGTCATTTTGTCGGAGTCAGGTCACAAGTCATTTGGTCCGAGTCAGGTCACAAGTCATTTGGTCCGAGTCAAGTCACAAGTCATTTTGTCCGGGTCAAGTCACAAGTCATTTGGTCCGAGTCAAGTCACAAGTCATTTTGTCCGGGTCAAGTCACAAGTCATTTGGTCCGAGTCAAGTCACAAGTCATTTGGTCCGAGTCAGGTCACAAGTCATTTTGTCCGGGTCAAGTCACAAGTCATTTTGTCCAAGTAAAGTCACAAGTCATTTTGTCCGAGTCAAGTCACAAGTCATTCTGTACTATTCGTTTACCATGAACTAGGGCGTCACCCACTACAACACGACAATCTGGCTGCAATAGTCACTGTGCATGGATGAATTTCCAGTGCAAGTTGTAGAAAAGTTAATTTTCAAAAGATATTTACGACTTTACATTTGACTTCCGTTGCTAACAAGTCATTTCCAAGTCTAAGTGAAGTCACAAGTCAATTCGTTGGAGTTCAAGTCAAGTCTGATTAACAAGTCAAGTCACAAAAAATTACGACTCGAGTCCAAGTTGCATGACTCGAATCTACAACTCTGCCGCTCCGGTTAGCATATATTAATTTTCCGTTGAAATTTCTATCTACAAGTCCGTTATTGGTTCACTCCACTATGAAAAATAAATTTATGTTACTTGTAAGACAACACAGCACTGCCAACAACAACACATAGTCATGTACATTAAATTGGGTAGACGCCATGGTATTAGTAAGCAATACGCCCTTTTAGAAAGTACGTCCTCGTTTTCGTGTATGCGATGTTAGTTAAAGCCCCTAGACGAGACTCTATAGTATAGCTGAGGTGACGTACTTTCTGAAAGCGTGTACTATGGAAAATTATTCTACATTTTGGAAGATTATTTTACAACTATGCCGAAGGCCACTATATAAACGAAAATACTTAGCAGAACAGTATATATACTTGCCTCGAGCATTTTGTTATACCTCTCTTTCAATTCAAAATACGACCTGTAAAAAAACAAATGATATGAAGTGTATATGGATCAGGGTTCGAATTAAATATTTAAAAGTGAATAGCGAATTTCTACCCATTGACTCATGCGATAAAAAGTGAATAGCGACTATTTCTACTATGCGATCACTGTGAAAAGGAATAAGGATTATTAAAATAAGCATTCGATCTTCAACCAGAAAGGCTGTTATAATAAGAAAGATTAAGCTGTCTTTATTTTTTGGTAGTTGTAACTTGTAAGATTAACGACACAGAAAGTGAGAAGACGAAGATGTAAAATTAAATAATTCCAATTTCCAATTATCACCCGTAAAAATTCGCGCAATATCTAAAAGACTAGTTTAATGGGTGATTCCAGCTATATACTAAATTTTGATCAAGGCAAGAAGAACGAAATCCAACACCACAGCTAGAAAGAGCATCTTAGAATGAATAAAACTGCAAAGATTGGTTGCTAAATGTTGTAAAATGAAGAAAATATAGCCCTATGAAGTTCGCAAATTTTGTATATATCTGTATTGTGCGCGGTAAAAATAACCACTTTCGGCTGAAAAATGGTTATTTTTCCCGCGCGTAATGCAAATATATACATAATTTGCAAACTTCATAGGGCTGTCTTTTCCTCATTTTACAACAATTTGCGACCAAACTTTGCAATTTTACTCATCCTAAGATGCGCTTTCCAGCTATGGTAATGGTTTCGTTCTTCTTGCCTTGATCAAAATTGGGTCATCAATGACTCATCATCTACCTATACTATACTATCCAGGCTCGTGGTTGGTTGATTATAACAATGAATAAAACTATAGAAATCGTCTTTCGAAAGAACAAGTCACAAACAATGATCCTTTTTGTTTCTGATTTGTTTCTGAACGCCAATCACAAAACATGATCATTTTAGACGAAATTTTGAGGGTAAAGACCTACCTAGAGCCGGAATCAAAGTTAGAGCAAATTACATGTAAAGTACAAACAAAATACTGTACATAAAGTAAATATGGCAAAGCTCAAAACATCGTACATCGCATATACTACACATAATGAATTAAACTAGAAAGTTATTAAACAGTTTGATTTGAGTTTTAAACCCAAGTGATTGTGAAAATTCAAATCTGATTGTAGTTGCGTGAACAAGTAACATGACATTTTGACCTTTCCTAAGTGGATTTTGACACATTTTTATACTGTCAGCCTATCATATTAAAACATTAGATCAAAACACAGCTTGAGGCCATTAGGAAACGAAACAGAATTCTATTGTCTATTCAGAAATATCAGCGCAAATGAGAGAATGTTTCACCCCAAAATACACAAAGAATTGTTTGAAAACAAACGTTTCCAATGTTATCCGTTTCACTTTTTCACATGCGAAATCTTCTCAGGTTGAATAGTGATTTTTTTTATATTACTGTATAGCAAAATGAGTAGCGAAATCCCAAAAACAGATAGCGAATCGCGATTCGCTATCTGTTAATTCGAACCCTGATTATTATGGATATGCTTACCCCTTGGCATGCAGTACCGAATGTACAATTACTACAATATAAAAGAAAATTATTTTGCATATATATAACTGATGTAAAATTTTAATGTTGGGTGTAAATGTAATTATACCTTGTCTTATGTATAACTGACTTCAATGATTTTTGAAGACGAGTTTTCTTCTCTTGCATCTCGTTGAAAGCCTGAGAAACCTCAAGATGTATTCTTTCAGCCGCATTTTTTTCTTGATTTGCATCCATAACCTGCAATGAAATAAATTGTAATGAAAGACCTTGCCTCGTGTTTGTGGCGACTTGCAACACAACGAGTGACATTATAACATATGTACTGTAGAAATATTCTCACAGAAATACGACAAGAGGTTATATGCCTCTGTTTCAAGTCACTAACACTGGGGAAAAAATGTGAAATCCATACTATGAGATTTGCAATTGCACCACTAAAGCCGAAGTATATCCATACTATTTCGATACTATATCCATATAGTATGGAAATATACAATTATTATGGATAATCAAAAATCCATTCTATTTCCAATAAAGGTCCATACAATTTCCATTATATGGATTTTCAAAAAATTTTCCAGTGTAACATTTTTCATTGTCTAATCTTCATGTCTTTGTTGTCTCTTGAATAAAAAATGTGGCATAACAACGCTCGGTGTCCCACCTTGCGTTGCAAGCTGCGGCAAAAATTGCCTATAAGGCTGGATGAGAAAGGCGGAAGCTAGCCCCTGTAAGCCAATTTTGTAAAGATGCAAGATATCAAAACTGATGAGATCCTGGAAATGAGACACCGTATTCAATAGATGACTTTTAATTTATTTTTTACTTTTAGTGATTTTCTGTTTTTGTTAATTGTGTTGGTCTTTTTGAATTTCCGGTGATTTTCTATTTATCTGCAATTCTTAGTTTCTGTGGGTTTTTTTTATCAAGCATTTGAAGAGTATTTTAATTTTTATTCTGTATTTTGTTTTTTTCTAAATGTTTTTCCGAAGGTGCACTTGATTTAAATTCATTAATGGTGTCCCTCGTTTTACACATCACGGTATTTAAGTAACGGTCTGGCATTGTCTGGCACTCCTAAAGCCGGTTACAAACGAGCACGTTTTCTATGACAAGTTTTCATATGGCAAGTTTTCTACGTACAACAAATTTTCGATGACAACTTTTTGGTTTCCTGACCGCCACAGTAGTTACTATTACTTGTATTAGCTATTACAACAATAGATCACTGACTAACCGCATGCAAGTTCTCAAATTTTGTTTGTTGATCTATACAGACGAACAAAATTAGTAGTGCCAATTTTTTCTTCAACAAGTGCACTTTTTCAAAAGCTAATATGGTAGCTAGCACTGCACTAGCTTCATAGTATTGCTCGTCCATTACCTTAATAGTAGCGTGATTTAACATCTCTTGACATGCAGAATCCAAAAATCTTTCATCTTGCTTTAATTTTTCCTCTGCCTTCTTAACCATATCTTTAGCTGCATTATAATTATCACATGCTCTTTCATATCGAGCTGCAGCTTGTTCACTTTCATTGTGCACCTACGATTAAGAAAAAAAATTCTATTTACTGTGCATCTGACAGTATATTGGACAAAAAGGTAAATAGGTAGCGTAATTCCTATAAGAAATCAATTAAATTGGGTATTTTAATGGTGATGATAATCATAGCAAAAATTAGTAATACTTTCAATCATTTAGGTACTCACCAGAGACAAGTCATTGATTTGGGGGAAATGTGTTTACAAATGTTACTTACAGTATATACCTTAAACTATATTGGCACCATTAGGTCTAGTATGGTACTATAAACGAGTTATGGTACTATAAATGTAATGAAAGATACTCTCCAGGCCCAGAGGAAAATAGAGGAAAATGTAATGAAATATACTCTCCAGGCGTAGAGTTGCATTTTTCATGTAATAGTGTCACATACGTATTGTGGGTGACAGGTTTTGGCAGAAATTTACTTTTCTGCATTTCTTCTGCATTAATAGAGATTTCAATACTAATACTACAATTACACATAAACTACAAAACATCTACACAAAGCAAAAATAAAAATCATTAATACTTATACAGAATAGAGATTATTAATAATACCAATTCCCTAAAAAACTGCCGTCATTGACAGTGTCCACAGTGATTCACTGAATTTTCTTTTTGAACTAATTTGGTCAACTTTGTCATGATACTCTCTCTATTTAGATTTTTAGTTTTTTCAAATAAACGAGTCTTACATGTTCTGTTTGATTCAATGTCTCATAATAGGGTCTGGCTTGGTCCACTTTCTTTCCAAGTTTATCATACAATGACTTGAGATGAGATGCTGACTCGGCCAAAGTGAGACGAAACATTTCTTGAGCATCCTACAATTATATGCATGTTACAATAAAAGTGTTATCTGGTCCTGTATAAACAGACGCTGAGGGACACCTTTTCAGGGTCTTAGCTAGAGGTCTGTGTTGGCTATGTTATCGCAACCAAAAATGGAAAAACACGGCTAGATAAAATAAACGCGGCTTCATTATTTATATAAAGGCCGTGTATGTTCATAATTAAAAATATGGTGTTACTGCTTACAACAGACAGAATTTCTTCCTATTTACGTCATAAGAAAGTTTGTAAAATTTACTGTAGTTGTTGAAACTGGCAAAACTGATCCGTGGTGTTTTAATGTTTTGATGGGTAATGGGAACCTTATGGTGTTAAAATGGTTTTAAATACACCCCCAAGATTCTGTGCCCAAGAGTTGCTGAAATAACTTAATATTTTAATGCCAGTGCGCAATATGAGCGTATGCTCGCCTTGAATTTGGTTGCAAAGCATAGAACAACCACATGCATTGTCTGTTGTTGACGAGCATAACTAGAACCGTGAATTTGGCTATTTAAGGTAATTGACATGTGCACACCCTGGTCATTTCGAAACACACCCAAGATCTAAAATCCGAGCTAAGACCTGCACCTTTTCTAATAGAACATTTTTAATTCTTCTTCTAATGTCCTTTATTTCGACTGAAAAGATCACAAAAATAGGATTCCTATAGGAAATTCTGATTCATATATAGGGATTTTTCATAAGGGCATGGATTATGGGTCAATGCAACATATTCTCACCAAACACTCGAAATAATGTATGAAAACACTTGCGCGAATGTCTAATGGCAGACAGACAATTTTATTCAATGACGACATAAAAGGGAGTCCTTGAGTGGATATAGTCAATAAACAGCTTTTCATATGATTGGTAAACATGCTTGTCAAATATTAAACAAAAAACAAATACTTATGATGGGCACCATGGTTTTCACTTGACTATATGGTATTTCTATGTATCATAGTGATTTTATAACTAATACATTTGTGATTGCTTCCTAATCTTATGGCTAAAGGTCCATCTACATGATACAATTAGCTGTACAAGATTTTTATCCAAGTGCATGTAATTGAATGAATATATGACCAGAAATTTCACCATAAACTCACAAATATGACCTGTGTGAATTTGCATCAATTTACTTAAACTAGAGTTGTGAGTCAGAAACATATAGTATATCTTATTGTTTCTTGTAAATTTGCAATTTACCCCTGAATAATATATTTTACTTTATCTAACAGCAGATGATTTTACTCATCAAGGGGAGAGTCTAAAATGTGTGCTTATTCCGCCTAATTAATGGGTTAACCAAAGAGCATGCCAATGTGTCTCATTAACCCATTGAGCTGCAACCCACCCAAATGTGCCTTATGTTATTGTGTTAATCTGTCTGATGCCAGACAATTTTACTCATCAAGGGGAAAGCTTTGCAAGGACTGCCTTGTCTCCCTAGGGTGTGCTTTCATGTGCGATCCAGTCACTAATCAGAATTGGACAAAGCAATGTTTTCATATGATTTAATAGATTAGGAGGCTGTTTACGGAGGCTGTTTACGGAGGCTGTTTAGGAACTTGCATTAGGTTTACATTGTTTACATTGCAGCAAGGCTTTAGGCCAACAAATATAGTGAGCTGAGATTTTCATACCTATAGGTTACGGTCCGGCCTCAAATTTCCCTGAAATCAATCGACGGCAATGGCCAAAATTGCCGTAGAACGTAACAGCTGTCTACGGCATTTTTGGCAGTTTCCACAGCATTTTTCAAATTACTGTAATAAAACTTTAATTTTATTGTTACTTTGGATTTTTGACAAGCTAGAAACATGTCTATGTATTTCTTTAGTGGTTTATTTTCAAAGAAAACTGAGACTGAAATAGTGATTTACACATGGTTTGATCAACATCTGAATTCAAGTACCAAAGTAGTAATGGCTGTAATGCATAGTGAATAGTATAAAAATTGCACTATGCGGCACAAAATTGCCGTTGTTGCCGCAATGATCCACAGCATTTTGCTCTCCCTCTTTTCTTTTCTTTTTTTTATTGATTATAAAATTACGGCAATTGCCGCGATAAAATTCGAGCCCTGGTTACGGTGTTAAAGGAGGAAGTTAAAAATTAACTAAAATATACCAAGGGACCATTGACAAATATATTTTGTCCCATCTCGCAGGGGAGGACGTCAGCTCGGAAATTGTGACTGCTAAATAATTGGGTTGATAACAGACTTTCTAGGCAAATTAGACATTAAATGGTTCTCAGTAGGGGAGAAGGGGGTTAAAGTAATCACAGGACAAGTCTGCAAAGCAGTCAGAAGCAGGACGAAACCTATTTGTCAAATATCATATATGGTCACATATATGGTATGTTTCAGGCCTACAGTCCACTGAGTACATAGAACAAAGTCCATGTGTGTGATGATACGATTCACTGTATGTATATCTACAGATCTACTTCAACTTGATACAATCTGGATCAATTTTATAATCAAAATAATATTGTATTTTTATATCCTCACTTCATGGTCTTTTTCAAGGAGATTGATTTGATGTGATGCGTTATTAAGCCTCTCCAGTTCACCCTGAAATATTATTACATAGTTGAAACGTGATCTCTTCGTGTTAATACCTTTTATATAATATTTATAACATCATGGCATCTGAAACGTCATTTGAGTAGTTTCATGTTTCATATACTTTGTGTAAAAATAACTTTTACCTTAATTCTCGGATCTACTTCGTCATCCCAGGTTTCTTCCTCCATTATGGACTATTAAATTCTAATATTTTGTCATGGAGATCGATAGTTTCTTCGATACGAAATATTCAACAGCGTATACAAACAACAACATCGAAATAATCGAATGATGCACATAAAATTAAATTAACATACTAGCATGCGTCATTACTTCCGGTTGTCATTTGTCTGCATCATGCGCGAAAGAATTTCTATGGTGCAAGAACTCCTTCCTTACATGAGACATACTTTCAGTTGAGAGACTATCAACTATCAAGCGTTGCACAAAGTAAAAGTGGTTTCTATAAAATTTGGCCTTTGCTGTATGACGCAACTATACCACCTTTTTCTATGATACTGAACCGGCCCTCGCCGTCATTTTGGCAGCTGCCGCTAAAAATATTAAAAGAACAACATGTTAACGTTACACTTTACACGAAACAATTTTCCTGCAATGTGCAACTCATTCTTTTTCTAAACAATTTTGCACCTTGTAGTGCATGACGAGGGGCATTTCACTCCAAAAAAGCGTACGGGATTTTCGGATTTTTAAAAATCCGCGGATTTTTTAGCGGATTTTTCCCGGATTTTTTAGCGGATTTTTGAAGAGAAAATTTGCTGGATTTTCCGGATTTGTTCGGATTTTCCGGATTTGTTCGGATTTTCCGGATTTGTTCGGATTTTTTCTGGATTTTTGAAAATCTGTTGGATTTTCCGGATTTGTTTGGATTTTCCGGATTTGTTCGGATTTTATCTGGATTTTTTTTAATTATAGGGTTATAGAGCTAGGTAACGTTTTGAACAAATAATCTTAAGTTGTACGACGTCAACGTTATGCCAGAACGTCAGGGTCGAGCAGAGGACTGGGACTAGGACCACAGCCTTCAGAAACTAACGAAGGCTGGGCATGCAGTCATTTTGTTTAAATTCAAACAAGTTCATTATCCTTTCAAAAACAGTAAAAGACAATGGTGAATAACTTTTGGTTTTGTAATTATATTTTACAACATAACATCATTGTAACAAGAACACATATTTAGTAGTAATAGGCTTAAAAAACTTAGCATATACTCGAGCGTATAAATGGAAATGTAGAGTGGTCCAATAATTACGAAATATAATGACAGCGATCACCGTGAGCGTTTAGCTTTCGCTGTCCGCCATTTTGAACGTGGCAAAGAACCTTTACGAGTAAATTACACCAAGTACGTCATATATTTTTTGTGGATTTGCGGATTTTTAAGGATTTTGAAGGATTTCCGTGGATTTTTGAAGGATTTCTGTGGTTTTTATAGGATTTTTCGGATTTTGATGGATTCAACGGATTTTGAGGATTTCATGGATTTTTTCTGGATTTTTTCCGGATTTTTTGACGAAGTGTACGGGATTTTTGGAGTGAATTGCCCCTCGGTGCATGATATAAATTGAATCAGTAATGCGTGTGGAAGAATTTGTCCTGATTGCAGGCTTGTAGAAGTATCAATAAAAAGGATTCACACATGTAAGGACTGAAACCTGAGAAACAGATTACAGATGGTAATTGTGTCCCATGCATTAGGACAATGGCTCCATGACGACAACAACAACAACAACAACAACAACGTACAACAACGTACAACAACAACAACAACAACAACAACAACAACAACAACAACAACAACAACAACAACAACAACAACAACAACAACAACAACAACAACAACAACAACAAAAGAGCCAGGCTACTGGCTACAGTGTAATTACCAAAATCTACCAAAAACTGATTTTAATTGACTTTACACCGAAGGCACCAGCGAATTTGATTATTTTTTTGTCCAAAATTTTGTATCTTACGAAGTAGCAAAATTGTGAAACAAGTTAGTTGAATGAGAATTACAACTGCCATACACATACAGTAGATTGCCATACACACTATTACCAGGTTCTGAATAGGGTTAACTGACTACTGACATTTGCCTGAATTTTTGACTGACAACTGACAAAATGTCCTAACTGACAACTGAGAAATAATGAAACAACCATGAGTCAGCTTTTTTGCAGTAACTGACTACTGACAGCTAGCAATAAATCGCACTGACAACTGTATGGAAAGCCACAACTGTCTTAAGTGATCAAATATCACTGTACGTGGTGTTTTAATAATTATACGCGGTGCTTTTGCTGTTATACGCAGTAGTTTGATCATTATACGCGGTGCTCTGAACATTATACGTGGTGCTTTGATCATTATACACGGTGGTTTGATCATTATACGAGGTCCATTTATCATTATACGAGGTGCTTTGATCATTATACGAGGTGCTTTGATCATTAT